ATTCGTATATCGAGTCAGTTGTATATGTATATCCAACCACTTCTCTGTTTGAAAATAGAGACAATTACTTCATTACAAAAGTATTTTAAAAACCTCTGAGAGTTTCGCTTCACCGAAAATCACTATGCGTTCCACGGCTCCAGATTTTTGGGACTTTCCTCACAGACACGTATACCTGATCCAAAGTTTACCAAAATGTCTAACTTACGTAAACTATTGAACTAAATATTTTTCATAAGAAAACAATATTGAAGTTAAGGGAAAATCTTCAGTGATGTTTTCAAATGTCAAATTTTGAAAAAATGAATTTTACGAACGTTCTTAAACTAAATTGAAATCCCTGACTCCTTTTTTACTTGAAAGCAATATTTAAGATTAGGGGAATTCTTCAGTAATGTTATATAATGTCAAAGTTTTAGAAAATGAATTTGATCAACGTACCGTAACTTAAGTCAAATCCTAACTTTCTTTTTCTTAAGAAGTATTATTGAAGTTAAGGAAAGTCTTCAGTAATGTTTACTGATTGAATTTTACGAACTTTCCTTTTCTAAAGCAAAACCATTTAACTTGTTTTTTTCTTATAGAAAAGTAGTAGTAATGTTTAGGAAAAATATTCAGCAATGTTTTCCTATGGCAAATTTATAGTATAAATTTTACGAACATTCTAAATCTTATAATTTGGTAAAAGCCTGTATTTAACGTTTTGTATAAAAAAGGGTAATAATTAAGGTAACGAAACAATCTTCATTTAAGTCCTCTATGATACATTTTAAGGTAATCCATTAATATGTTTCTGTAAAATTTTGATTATTTTTTATTTCTTATGTGAAGGAGCAATCATAGAAAGGGGGCCAGGTTTACGCATAAAATAACATCAATTTTGTGTCTACCTAATATTTCCGTCTGATTTATGCATAAATTATACACACATGCATATTTCTATATCTTTACAAGTTTTTGGCAATGAGTATAGAGTGCGATATTACATTAAAACCATTACGGTAAGTATGTGTATGGAACACTACAATCGTTAACCATTCTTCTACGTCGTTGATGTATTGACTCTTTCAATGACTAATAACAATGTGCCATTGGACAATTATCCATGCGCGTGTGTGTATTATGTTCCAATGAAAACAAACCCTGCTCTTATCAGGAACATTCGGCATCATCCGTAAACGAGAAAACACTTTCTTGTTTAAGGAAAGTGCCAACGATTTCCGATTGACCCTACAGGTGCAATGATCTTCCAAAAACCTCCTTCCGTTTTGTAAGTTAATAATTGAGCCGGGTAGAAATAGTTTTGCATGAATAAATTTCGTCAAATGAGGTATATTTCTGCATGTAAAATAATCACGTTTAATCCTTATACATGTTCTTGAAACTCTCAAATACAATGTTTTTGTTAAAAAAGAACGATTTGCACTCTCTGTGAAATTATTGACTAGCATATTTGCTTTCCTTTGGTGTCAACGTTTTAGGGTAAATTTTGTACCAAATCTATAAATACTGTATATAGAAATTTATCTTGTTATTTAACATACACCAATGATTAGAATTGTATCATAATATTAGCGTCGGAGGGAAGGAAGCATGTATATGTGTGTTCTATGATATATCTAAGATCTTAGATCTGATAGCTTTAGTGGTCACAACAAAGACCATACACAGAAACAAAGGCCCGAACCTGCGAAAGGTAAACACCTGAATCCTAAGGTCAGATGTTACAGGTGTGATAATAATCGTACTGCAGGTAGGTGTACACATAATTCAAACATATGCCCCTATTACTCTTCAAGAGACACACAGAACAGTTTTACCTAAAGAACAAGAGTGACGCCATTCGGAAAACCAGAACAAAATTGAATTTTGTACGAAATGAAGATTCAGAGACAGATGAATTCGAACCTGTATATTATGTCCATTTAAACATTTTGGGGACTAAATCCAATCAAATCATTGCCAAGCCAATAATAGAAGGTAAACTGACAGAAATGGAGTTTGAAACAGGTTTATCTTGCTCAATGAGTTCTGAGAAAATATACCAATCGTCATTTTGCATGCGAAAGCTTACGTCTGATGATCTGGAGAGGAGATCAGACCACAAGGAATTCTTTTTTCATATGTTGATGTTGAAATTGTTCAGTCAAAACATTAAGTTGCATTTAGTTCTACAACATGGATCGGCAAATTTCGAGTTATTAACACGATAAAAAGGATTTTTTTCTACAGCAGCACTATTTAGACTGAATTAGTTTCAAGTGTTGAGGCTGGACCGAAAAGAAATAAAAGCCCTGAACACACCGAGAGCGCCAGACATGTATATACACTCACAAACTCGAAAACTATATGAGACAAATACAAGCATGTGTTTGCTGCTGGCATTGACGAATTGAAGAGTATTCAGGCCAGTCGGTTACCAACGAAAAAGCATAACCTTTATATTACAAAACACGGCTAGTACCATATGCACTGAATAGACCCAGGTTCGAGGCCTAGTTACAATGATGACAGAATTAGAGAATTATCAGTCAGGTGAAACATAATGAATGTGATACACCAATTGTACCGGTCGCTAAAAGGTCGGGACAAGCACGGATATGTGGAAACTACATGGTCAGTGTTAAACCCAGTCGTTAGGTCAGAAAGGTACCAAATACCATTGGAAGAGGATGTTTTGACTTTTCCTGCTGGAGGGAAGAAATTCACAAAAATTGACACAAGCCAACAATCATTGAGCCTACTTACACAAGCCTTATTGCAAAATAAACGTTGCGGAAGAATCGAAGGAGCTATTTGCCGTAAATACACACAAATGTCTTTGCAGATACAATCGTCTACCTTTTGAAGTAGACTCTTTTCATGATTTTTTGCAAAAGGCGTTGAAACAAGTGTTGCAGAGTATTAATTTTACAACGTTCGTACTTGACGGCCTGGTTATTAGTGGAAAGACTGATGAGGACATTAGAAAATCACTTACATTGGTTTTAGAGGAACGAAATATCCGTGCTAACATTGAGAATGTATCATGGGCATCAAATCAGGAAAAGACGGAACTAATCGTCTTTTCCCCAAAGTGTCAGCAAACAATGGCTCTCCAGCTCAAGGTCGGTGCCGGAACTAGTGAGACTGTTCCAGCTGTTAAAAACCTAGGGCTATACTTTGATAGTTCACTGAACAAGGAGAAACAAGTGAACGCTATTGCTAAATCCTGTTACTACCAGATCAGAAGCATCAGCTATATTCGGCAGTTTATAACTGCAGATGCATGCAAGAATTTGGTGGATTCACTTGTTACCTCTCGGTTGGATTATGGTATGATTATGCTCTGTGGTATATCTGTAAAGTTGAATGAAAAGTCCAGGTCGACGCAGATTTCTTGTTTACCGGTTTATTCCCGCAATATGTTGAACATAATCAAAAAACCCTACAAAAACACAATACAATTGATTACATAATGAAACACAGCGCTCACATATAATTCCTAACATGTACATTCGGTGCATACATATTTGATCCGTCACACACAATAGGTTATTCAAAAATAGGAATAAAACTTTAACTTTACAATGACTGACTTCATCATAATCAATAGTTGAAATTACTTACACAAATTACTTATACATAATTATATTGAATACAATTATCCTTATCAATTAGCACTTGTTTACATTATCATATACCATATTAAAATGCCTACCCAAACTATGGGTCGGGGGTTTACACGAATGGAGATCTGTATCCGTTCTCAATCGAAAACTATCATCTCTGTAAAAGAGACACGTAAATCACAATTAACATCATGTTGATAAAAACATATATACATTACTTTAAAAAGAGCTATCTATGTATTGATTGACTATGCATGTACGTAAGATCAAGATTCTGTTAATTTTATAAAAAGTACAATTTCACAATATAAATAATGCTACTTTATCAAAAATCTCATTAATATAATAATTTAACATCAACCAATTACAGAAGAAGACTTTTTCACATCTATATATGTACATACCAGATCTAGAGAAACACTTCAAGACTCAAACTTCTGGATATAAATTACATCCACCCTTAAGCTCTGTCTATGAATGAATACTAAAAGCCGCGCCAAAACATGTACATGTAACAAAGACACCTGGACTGACAACTAACGAAAACGAGGTAAAACCTATATTTAGAACAATTACCTTATATGGACGTAACAAGGAAAGACAAGTGACATGTGACAACATACTCACGTGTACAAAAACAACACAGGTAAACGGCACAGTGATCATACACAGCACATGTATACGCGAACAACACGATATACGCAGCGCAACAATTAATTTAATTTAAAAACTTTTTATCACAGCCTTTATCAAAACATCAATATTTGCACAATGTTACATTCTCCCCTTACTTAGAATATGAATTCAACTTCCCAGGTGTAATCAATCCTATATCGCAAAACTTAAGGGAGTATGATACATAAATTTTAGAAACTTCAAATTCCAAAATACAATACAAAACTTATGTCAAATAATATAAACTATTACAAATTCCACAATTTTGTACAATAATATAATACATGAATCTCTAAGAACAATATCCGAGCCGAAAATTCAAACTGTTCCAAAGATACTGTTAACATGAGTTTCCTCCGGTGACACTCTTGTTAAGACACCCTGCCTTGCCAGCGTCTCAAATAATGCCATCCGGGACCTCCAAGTTGTCATATCCTGTGACGATGATACCTGCTGCCTAATAACATAATCACCAGATCGTTGCCAAGCGGACTGTACTCGCTCTCTGGTGCTTCGTCTAGGACCATCCGCAACCCTCTCAACTTCCGGATCCTGTTGTTCTCCCCCTCCTAAAGGACAGTCTCCTCCGGAGAGCTGGTCGTCACCAGAAGAACCAACAACATCAACCTCCTCAGCAACACCGCGATCGTCGTCCGGGTTGTGAGTGGGGATCACTTCCACAGGTTCATCAGAAGGTATTGGTCCCTCTGAGTTATGTGGATCAACTCCTCCGGTTCGGGTGTATTGGTAAACATAGCAGTCATCGACATCTCTGTCATCTCGTCAGATATCTCCAAATCCTCAGGAACACTTTGTGACAAAACCGATTTCGTACTGCGTTTCGCCGGAGTGGGCCGATCCGCTGGAATGGGTCTCTCAGGTAGTGAACCTATGGGTAAAGTATACTTCTTGCCTTTCTGGTATAAGTCTTGCCTGTAAAGTATATTTCTTGCCTTTCTGGTATATTTCTTGCCTGTAAAGTATATTTCTTGCCCATCTAGTATATTTCTTGCCTGTTAAGTACATTTCTTACTTATCTGGTATGTTTCTTGCCTTACAGTATATGTCTTGCCTATCTGTTTTATTTCTTGCCTTTAAAGTATATTTCTTGCTGTTCTGGTATATTTCTTGCCTGTAAAGTATATTTCTTTCCCATCTAGTATATTTCCTGCCTGTAAAGTATATGTTTTGCTTATCTGGTATGTTTCTTGCCTTACAGTACATGTCTTGCATACCGGTTTCTTTCTTGCCTGTAGAGTATATTTCTTGCCTTTCTGGTGTATTTCTTGCTTATCTGGTATGTTTCTTGCCTGCAAAGTGTATCTCTTGACTTGCTGGTTATATTTCTTGCCTTTCTTGTACATTTCTTGCCTTTCTAGTATATATTTCTTGCCTGTAAAATATATTTCTTGCCTTTCTGGTATATTCTTGCCTGTAAAGTATATTTCTTGCCTTGTTGGTATATTTCTTGCCTGTAAAGTATATTTCTTGCCCATCTAGTATATTTCCTGCCTGTAAAGTACATTTTTGCTTATCTGGTATGTTTCTTGCCTTACAGTATTTGTCTTGCATTCCGATTTCTTTCTTGCCTGTAAAGTATTTTTCTTGCCTTTCTGGTGTATTTCTTGCTTATCTGGTATGTTTCTTGCCTGCAAAGTGTATCTCTTGACTTGCTGGTTATATTTCTTGCCTTTCTTGTACATTTCTTGCCTTTCTAGTATATATTTCTTGCCTGTAAAATATATTTCTTGCCTTTCTGGTATATTCTTGCCTGTAAAGTATATTTCTTGCCTTGTTGGTATATTTCTTGCCTGTAAAGTATATTTCTTGCCCATCTAGTATATTTCTTACCTGTAAAGTACTTTTCTTGCTTATCTGGTATGTTTCTTGCCTTACAGTATATGTCTTGCCTATCTGTATTATTTCTTGCCTTTAAAGTATATTTCTTGCCTTTCTGGTGTATTTCCTGCTCATCTGGTATGTTTCTTGCCTGCAAAGTGTATGTCTTGCCTTTCTGGTTATATTTCTTGCCTTTCTGGTATATTTCTTGCTGTAAAGTGTATTTCTTGCCTTTCTGGTATATTTATTTTTCTTGCCTATCTGGTATATTTCTTGCCTGTAAAGTATATTTCTTGCTTATCTGTCAATGTCTGTCAGTCTAGTGTATTTCCGGTATGCAAAGTAAGTTTTCTGTCCGTCTAGAAGACTTTCTGTTAGAGGCCAAATATCATGATATTTGGCCTGTAGCCTGCGTGACTATATGACTTTTTAAAGTATTCAAATGAATTACCTTTACCTTACTTTCACTAACTTAGTTTTTATACCTCCATTATCTCAGTTTTAAAATGTGTTCAAATCTTTTCTTCTGAATATCTAATCGTAGTTTGGTTGACTGTTTACTCGGATGAAGATTTACCATTTTGTTCAAATGAGTGACCTTGACGCACACTTTCCTTGTTAATATTATATATATAAATTCTCCATTTTGGTGGTGAGACATAATTATTCAAACTTATTAATCTTAAATATCAGCCCTTGTGGCATTCCCTCAGTCTATACGTTGACTAATTGAACCTTTTGGATTGAGATTTGTATTCTCTCAAAACTCACAAATGCATGTACTTTCAGATTTTGTTTAAAAAGGAAAATGTCAATTTGTCTTTCTCTACCTATTGGAAGACAGCTTACACTTGCCTCCTAAAACAAAATGCCATCAGTTTTAATTAAGCCGGTGTCAAAACTTTTATGCCATCAAATATTTCACAATAAGATTGTGTCATAAATATAATTACAAACTTCAAGCACAATTTAATTTGATGGTATGTATTGGGTTCACCAATAGAAAAATTGGTATCTTTTCCAAAAGGACGTATGGTATATGGGAGATAAATCATACCTCTCGGTGATGAAGACAATTGTTACCCAGGCCACACCAATTTGATAAATAGTTCTTCGGGAAATGTTGGGAAAAAACAGGAGCGAGATGGTGGAATGTATTTTTTTATTTTATTTTTTATTTATTTTTTCTTATTTTGTTAAATTGTAGAGCGAGCAGTAATAAAAATTAACAATTATGGGTTTTAATACATGAAAAGGTGCTCATATTGGATAGTTTATATAGTATTTGACTAAGTACTGATTTTTATGTTTTTTAAGAGATTTTATTTGTATTGGAAACATTAAAATGAAAAATATACCTGTAATAATATATCTTGAATTCTCACATGGAATAAAATGTCTCACTTGAAAATGATATCATTTTTTCACTGTATATGCATTGTGTTTCAAAAAAGTTCATATCTGCAAATTCAATTAGGACTGGAATGGTAAAACAAACCTCAGAATCACTATCTCCTAACCCAAAACCAGAACAAATAAAGTTTTACCTTTTCTATTCGTATCTGGCATCCTCATAATAAAATCCTTTCTTCTAACAAAATGGTTCTTAAAGGTTCTATGTTATCATATTTGGTATACAGGTGTAACAGGAAAGAGAATGGTGTGCTTCCACCGGGGATCGAACCCTCAATCTCCAGGTTCCTAGTCGGACGCTCTACCACTGAGCTAAAGGGAAATTCCCTCTAGCTCGAAACAGTACTTTTATTTTATTTTAACTTTGTATTATATAAAACGGCGTGTGAAATTTCTAAAAAAAAATATAGAATTGCCTTCTTATTAACCTGATAAAGACCCGTTTCCTTAGTTTTGATCTTATCATTTTTCAGAACTAAATGAAAGAAAAATTAATTTAATGAAAAAAATATATATCAAATTATAAACTAAAACAAAACGTTACAATGCTTATTGATCCCATAACTTGGGGAGAAAAATCAGTCATTTTAAAATGATAATAAAAACAATTTCAAAATAACAAAACAAATAAACTATTGCCAAAACATACTTATACTTTAAGTGTTAATAAGAACTCACATGGAAATCTAAACACAGATAAAAAATACTTATCTAGGTGATCTAGGATCATCTAGATCACCGTCATATAAATATGAAATATAGAAATACAAATATGAAAGAATGATCAACGTGTTCAAGTTTATCAACTGGCTATATGATCCGAATTTGGTGTAGGCATTGTTCGATTTCGCCGCCCAAGGAAAAACTCGTGAACGTATTTGACTTTGAAATAAAGTTGGACGAATTATGGAAAGATCTTGAGTTGAAGTACGATTATACAGCGTCTTATGTATAGACTTATTTTATGTTTACCACAATGTATTTCAAATTATACTGATGTGGATATAGAGGCAGCAATGCCTGCGTCCACTAATATCCTATTAAATCCTATTAAATGAATCAATTCGTTTGAATAGACCGGCACATTTTCTCTGTGTCTCGGTTTTCAGCTGCATCATCAAAATGATTCACTTTCCTTGCGATTCAATCGAAAAAGCGACCCAAATTAGCGATGCCTGAAACAGACCGATTTTTTTTTTATTTTTTTTTCGACTTGGTGTGGCCCAAGATAAAATTTTAGCTGGACTTATCTGTCTACATTACGCAGGGTCAACTGGAAAGTTCAAGCGTGGGGCAAAACCAGAAAGTGACGGTTCTAGGATTGGGTTTACCGCCGCCAAGGACTCAAGTAGAACATTCCAGTGGAGTTCTGGCTGGAGCAAGTATGAAGATAACATTTTTACTGAAACCTTATCGACGTCATGTCCAAAACAGCCCTCAACCATGTCAAGCTTGGCCATAGTCATTGAAGATCATGAAAACAAAAATTCACTGTTGAACTGCTGTTGTTTATGTGATAGAGGCCAGCTGGCATTTAAGTTCACTTGTTTGATGTCTCATTTTTCAGAAAATCTTTCCAATCGAACACTGTACAAAAGTAGTCATACATTTGTGCAAAATGAGTTAATAAAAGAAAATGTATCATAGTAAAAACACTTATTGTGAGGGACTGCAGCTTTCCAAAAGTCTTTAAAATGACCATGATGTTTGATAACATATTTGGAAAAGCTATCATAACTCTAGCAGTAGGTTTGTGCAATTTTAGGAAAGTGTTAAGTTGACTTAAGTTTAAATGATACCAAATTGAACAAAATATTTAGAATGTTGCTGAGTGAGAAACTCATAACAAGGATTTAGGTTGACAAGATCAGGATATGTCTTACATTTGTAGAAGAGATGTTAACTTTTGAGACTACATAAACAAAACCAGTAGACCTACTAATGTCATCATGTATGTGTACACAAAATTGTTCTGCTGGTCCATAAACTTTATACAATAATTTTATCACAAAGTGCACCAATCATCACACTGGTATGATGTTTTGCCAACGTTTGTTACGTTATAAGAATTATCGTCTTTTCCTAGTTAACATTTATTTTTCACCATTAACGTATCTGTCTATATAAACTAAAAAGGTGAATTCCAAAGTGTTAACAATACCGTAATACAGTTCAGAATTGATAAAACAAGAGCGAAATATAAACAAATAAAAATTTGCATAGAAACCTTCGTAAACACCAGGAGTTACCAAAGGGTAAGGGTCTTTTGCTTATAAAGTTAAAATTCTTGTTGATAGGTAATAGGTAAAAGTGTCCCCCAGGTGGCGCTGATATGGCTCCTACAAAAAAATGTGGTGTCGTCAGTGATAATCGGTGCAACCTCAATCAAACAATTGGAAGACAACATGGGAGCCGGTAAAGGCTGGGCGCTTACCACGAAGGAGGTGTGTGAATACTAGGGTTGTATTTGTCTTACATTTGTAGAAGAGATGTTAACTTTTGGGATACATAATCAAAACCAGTAGACCTACTAATGTCATTATGTATGTGTACACAAAGTTGTTCTGTTTGTCCATAAACATAATATTATTTTATACTGCAGATTTTAACTCGCAGTTAATAAGTGTAGTTTAATATCAATAGTTTTAGCTGTAATTACAATTTATCTTTGATATTGAGATCTGTAATACTGTTTCCGCCCTCCGTAATGTGGGCGAATTTTCATCAAATATTATTAAACAACATAGCATGAATAGTATTTAAATGTGATGGGTGAACTAATCACTAGACAAATAGGGATTTTACCGGCGTAGGGCGAACGTTACCCTTTATACAGTATGTATATCAATCAACCTCACTAAAATATTTCATATCAAATTGTAATTTTTTGTCAATCTGATTAGCTTACTTTTGGTGTATGTTTTGATAAATTGTGATAAAATAAACAGAATGATAGACTATGTATTTCATTTTAAATCTGTACACACAACTTGATTAATTATCTTTTTGCTACAGATGGATGAACTAGATAAAGCTTCAAGCGTGGATCTGCCTTATCCCTACGAGGTGGTATTCCGAATCAATAACGACAGGAAGAACCCATTCCTCGGAACGTTGTTTGCGGAAAATATACAATAGTGAATTATCAATGTAAATAAAGCACCAAGAGTGTTAACCTCAAAAACTTGTGATTTTATCAAATGATATTTTGTATTTTGTTAAAAGTTCGAACAGTATTATGTTCCGCATAACCAGAGTTCAACTTGGGGTTAAGAATGGGCTTTCCAGCCTCATGTCTCAACATACCTTTTCATATGTAAATTCCTGCAGTTTTTCACAATCCTTAATTTCATTTTATCAATGACACTAAAACCATTTTTAGTTGAACCAGTTGCCTGCATAAGTAATATCCACTTAAATTCGAATCAATGGTATGCCCTTTAACCACTTTCTCCAAAATGTCATTGTTGGGCAATTTAAAATATAAATTCATTTATAATTTCACTTAAGGCAAATATCACTTACATCTGTCGATATGCAAAATGTAACCATATCCTATCTCATAATTTCGCTAAATGAACTAAATTTACAGATTCAATAGATAAAAATGGATCAGTTTGCATCTGTAGCCCATTTAGAAAGGCCAGTTAGTAGGAATAATACTACTCTCATTATGAGGGTAGTGTATACAAAGATGACACAGATTGGCTTATACAATGCTCACCGAAATCTACAAATAGGATTATCTCTGACAGCATGGAAAGCCAAGCCATCAAATAACTGTTCAACGCTCGTGAGTTCATTCAAGGCTTGTTGAGTGTTGTTGCTGTATATTGAAGCGAGCGGTTCTTGTGATTACCACACGTGCATTTTGGAAAATGTCCCCAAGTTCACAGAATTTCTTAACTCCAAGAACGTTTTTTATTAACGTTGACGATTTTGGTCTGAAATTTCGACAATCCTCTCGTAGGTTTCTGTATTGTGTATTTCTGCAATTTACTCCCTGTTTCAAATCAATAGTTCATCCAACATAATACGTATTTATGTACCATTTGAGGATGTTTGGCCTTAACGAAAATAAACCTAATTTTGATAACCGAGAATATTCTCAAAGAATGTGACATATCTGGTCTTCTTAAATGAATTTGAAGGAAAAAATCGATAGTATGTCAGGCTTTTGTAAAAACGAAAACTATTGTTGGACACTCTATACATTCCAACAGATAAACGAGTCCAGTGCTACCGTGCATTTATTGTATAAACCTTTCTATGATGATTGTCTGCAATCATGCGTTTTTATCACGTTTTATAACCAAGATCTCACGAGGTTCAATCATTGTTTGTTACATATGATCTATGCATCGTTCAGTTACTCGTCATCGAGTGCATGACAGATTGACTGAAATCAGAGCAGCAGAAATATAGATTATTAGAAATTAACTTTTGAATATAGATAACATTATGTATCTACACAGTTAGGATGTACCATATTGGATAACAGTAAATACAAGTATAAGTTAAAAATGCAAGACAGATATAGTGTTATAAATAGTTTCTAAAGTAGCAAATATTAAACAAGTAAAACTGAAATACGCAATCTGTACATCTTAACAACTGCATGACTTTATTTTTAATGACAATAACACGTTGTTGTTTTTTTCTTTACACATTTTATTGATGTATGTGATTAACGAAGATTAAAAATACCTCATTAGTCTGTAAGAATAAATATAAACACAATCCGTATCTTAAAAAAACTTAAATAAGTGAATTATGAAAAAATTGTCCAATATTGTCTTTTTTGTTTTGATAACTTATCAACAGTCGAACTATCGGAATCTAAAATAGAAACATATCGGAGCGCCAACACACAAGATTAAACATTACCACAGCACGAAGGAGCAAGGGCAAATATACCACAACGCCAACACGCTATGACAAAGTATTCCACAGCATCAATACTTAAGGATTAGATAAACCACAGCGTAAACACAGAAATGTACAACTAAGATCAACACACCAGGGCAAATTTTAACACAGACAAAATGCACCAGTTGTCAACACTTAGGGACAAATGAAACATCTTGAACCCAAGTTGATATATACCATAAAAAGTACGCATGCTACACTGAGGCAAACGAAAGAGAATCATGAACCCAGAATAGAACAGAGGCAGAACACAAGTGTTTCCAGCACTGTATGTTATTTCCGTCATCATTCATCATGTTTAATCCGTGAAATTATACCTGGTACAAACGACCATAAACAAGGTGAGCATGTTGAATTTGTAAAAATACAAATCCGGAAAAAAACAATTTTGTTAGAACTACGGCACTGATACTACCATTGGGTTAAGCAGGTATATAACAAACTGATTATATATACATTTACAAACGAATTGAAATCGCGACAGAATCACTTCGATCCCAGACAATGATAAAATAATATATTCTTTTAATCTGTCCACTAACTCCTGTTACGTACCAGTAAGTTATAGTATCACTGATAGTGCTTTTATACAAAATGGTATATGAGTTGGCATATCATGCTAAAAATGTACGGATGATGTAAATATTATACCAGGATATTTAAAGATTATGGATTTTTGTCGAGGTGAATATATGGTTACATTTATATAAACCTGAGAAAAAAGTATTAACAGAGACGAAGGTCTTTATAAACATATTGTCACCGAAAGAAAAGTTCGTGATTGCTGTTTTAGATTTATGATAAATTATGCTATTGATTAAACAAGATGGAATGTAAAATAACTGTGTCAAGAGAAAAGTACAGTATTTAGCAAAAGAACATTATGACTTTAAAATATCAGCGGAGTCATGACAAGAGTATTGACATACTGTTTCTAAAATAGTAACAACGAGTTTATATTACAAATCACTGATCTCTAAGAGACTTTGATTTAAGCTATAATGATGTAGGAATAAGTTGTGTGAACTTGCTTTTCTATACTTGGGTTATTATACTATTGTTTGGCTGTATACTTGTTAATTTAAACCGTTATTTTACACGAAATAATTATACAGTTATATCAATGTTCAATGGTAAGTTATACCATGTGTTATGGCACACCTAAACCATTACATTACCATACATTTGTTAATAATACCTTATTGTACATTTGTTAATTATACCACTACATTACCATGCATTTGTAAAGTATACCTTTCTATACATTTGTTGATTATATCATTACATTACAATAGATTTGCTAAGTAAACCTTACTATATATGTATTAATTATACCATTTTCCTACTGCATTCTTGTTGATATAGCGCAAGTTTATTATTGGTGCGAATGTTCACGAATCCCATTATTAGACGTGTAGTTTTATTTAGATCAGTAGTGTTCGTATGATATAAAGAGTTAAGGTAGCCGAGTACAGTAGAAATGTCTTGAGCCTAAAAAGAAAGGGCATGTCTCGGATAAACATGGATAGCGGATTCATCCTGCACAACACACCTACACCTACAGGTTTTTTTTAGAAGAATGATTTTTTTTTCAAAAAGGGATTTCCCCAGATTTGGGACTTGCGAAAACCATGGTAACCACATCAAAAAAAGCCACGCAAGTAGTATTATTTCATCTTAAAACCTGTCTTAAATTAAATATCACCTACTCGGTAACAGAAATAATACGCACGTTACATGTATAGTATAGGTCGTTCAACTGGATTTTTTCACAATATTTCCACATGTGCTGAGTACAAAAATAGACTACATGAAAAGCTAGGTTTTGTTGTGTAGACACAGATTTGTAAATGGCGAAAAAGGGAGTCTCAAGCCAAATTCGATTTTTCTTTTCTTTAAATGTGAAGCGCACATAGTCCAATATATCATGTATATGCCAATTTTAGAGCTGATTTTTTTAAAAGTTTTGTTACATATAATATTACAGGGGTTATTCATTGAACAGAAATATCACCCATGGCCACCGTACGCTACTGTACACTGCTACCTAAGTGTTCTTTAGATATATGACGTTATTTAGAGATATAGCGTTATAGAGATATAGCGTTATTTAGAGATATAGCGTTATTTAGAGAAACATGTATGGTGTTCTATAGATATACATTGTTATTTGGATCCATATGTAATACTATTTGGATAGGTGAACGTGAAACATACACACAGGTGACTACACCTATAACAAATTGGTAATTGATAGTAGGCTAAACAAACTGCATCATGCAGCTGTTTCGTCCCTCTAGGACTCATCAGTGATGCTAGGTAGGTGCAAAATAGATGGACATAGTGTTATCTTAATATGAAGTGACATATAGATTATTAAGGCTTGTAATACTATTTTATTTTAAAGTAAATAGCAAATATATATCCAGTGTATACGGTATCAAGAGAAGTAACTCGGTTGGAAACTTCTTCATGCAATATATATAGATTGTTTACATGCAGCATCTTTTTCAGTAAATATATTTCTAAATGTAGTACCTAGATAATTCCACAGTTTTACAAACAATATCTAGGTTATAGATTGTTACATACAGTATATAGAGCTCTGCATACAGTATCTAGATTTATGCATACACTATTATATATCTAAATACATTATAAGTATATACTTATATAATATATGTTTGTTAAAGATTCAGGTACCACTGCCAAAAACTGTAACTTAGCATTGAAAACTGTTTTTATCAGCATGCTTATAACATTGATAAATCATTATAAAGAGAATCATACCTTCCCGGACTTTAATAGAAAAAAATAAAGATGAAATAAACAAAATATAAAGAACAAGTGTGTTCTGAGTGTAAACAATTAGCGTGGCTAGATCGGGATTCGAACCCTGGATTTGAGATTGTTATACAGTTTCTATATGGGGTTTTACACAAAAATGATTTGAATTATCCCATTCATATACTGTCTCTGTAACCAAATGGGCACCTATTCAACGAAAGTGTTCTAGTCCATATGTGCTACAGTTACATTCAAACGGAAGTTAAGGGGAGGTTACTGTGTATAGCAAAACGGCAGTGCAGTGAAACAGGGATTCTTATTTTTTTAATATTTGTTACCATGTATATCTAAAACTGTTACAAAGATTTTACAATGAATATTGATTCTTACATCCATTACCAATAGAATGTTGTAATATATGAATTATATTGTGGTAAATTACGTTTAGTGCTTCATCTATGGACATCTGCTACAGTCATTATCACACTTGTTCCCGGGTATGGTAAAGCATGTTGTGGCTGCGCACGAAACTTCTGTGGAGGTGCTGTCTCCGCAGTGTATGTATTTATGACAATCGTACGGATGGAGTATAAACGTGGCATTGGTAGATTCACAAATGTTACCTGCAAGAAAATAAGGACTATAAGTTTCCTAATCAGATCACAATACATGTAAATTAAGCAACCTCTGCAGCACAAACATTGTAAATACTCTTTATTATTATTATTTTGTTTCATTTTATTTATTTTATTTTAATATATCTTATTTGACTTACAGGGGTATTTTGTTGTCTTTCGTAAAACCCTGTAAGTATCATTCGATAAGCAAATCCATATTCAATTAAATTTATCAAGAAAACAGATTCGCCGTCATACTAACCGGATATGAGCAGAATTGTCAATGAATTCGATTCCAGTGTGGTGGGTAGGTTAGTTCCGATATTAGAGTATGACGTCACACATTTAACATCGGTTCCATTCATTGAAGCAAGAGATGCTGTCGACCGGATCGTTCTGGTGAAGGTACATCCGTCTTTTGTGTCATCACTAGTGGATTGGGACGTCATTTCGACGAAGCTGTTATTTGAGTTTCCATTTGAGGCGTGAAGAGTCATTTGGACAGCAGGATTGCCCACGTCACCTGTACACTCAATCTGTTCAGTGGAGACGTCTAGATATGTCCTCTGGGATATTGTTGGTGGTGATGTTGGTTTTACTGAAAAATATGTAACTCCGTCGTTAAAGTGGTAGGAGCTGACATTTGCGTGTAGGATATATCAAGGAAGTGGTAATATAATGATGTTAAATTATGTTTTTGTGCAGAAGAACCGGAGTCAATTCACTGTTCTTATGTGTGTGTATTTATTTCAATATTTCAGATATGCTATGAACCGTAATTATAAAACACTCACCTAACACGTTTATCTGTGATGTTGTCACTGATGAGAAGTTGCCGTTGGTCAAATTTAGAGTAAACGCTCCACTCATTGCACAAGCTATTTTTGGAAGTGTTACGTTGATGTATTCCAATGATCCAGCTGTGTGGTACGCAAGGCCAAGGCCGGACCAAGCAGGATCCGTCGTCGTGACAACAGCTGATGTTTTCGTTAGACTTCCCAATGGTAGTAACACTGATCCAGTCGATGGATGAGATAAATGTGAAAGGACGATGATGTCGAAATTGTTACTTACAATTTGACATTGTAGAAAGGCTGTTTCGTCGACGTATCCCGATATATCGTCACATGTAAGGGCTGCAAGTAAACATGTAAATCTACTTCAGGCAAAAACATAACTTAAATACAAAAGCACGTATTTGGAAGATATTCCACTGAAATGTTTTTGATTTTTAGAAAATAACGAACAACATACTATCTGTTTCTTGGTCTCTAACCCATAAACATGATTCTAAAACTATTTCGATTAATAAAAGGCTCACAAATCGTATGATAATCAATCTTGAAGGAATTGAATTTTTCGGTCTTTTATAGGATCTTCAAAATAAACACTTAACAAATCTTTTTTGTTTTGTTTCGTTCTGAAAAAGTAATGAACTATTTTATTGACCGCCATATTGTAAAATTTAAAGGAACGGCGTTAAAGCTATCTTCTGTATATTCAATACATTTTCCAGTAAATTGAAAATGCTGTCTCGCAAACAGCATACTAACAACTAGTACACGGGAATGTTCCCCTATCAGAAACTGAGGGAATCAATCCATAATAATGGTAGTCTTATCATGATGTAACAACAAATTTTAGGTAAGACAGATTAAAAAACAACATACAACATATTTTTGTTCAAACATATCTTCAAGACACTTTACTGTCAATGGTTGAAGATTAGTATTGTGAACCATATTTCTGAGTTTAAAATACCTAATATTGTTAAAAAAAGAGAAAATTGAATAGCACCGTAAGAACATGACAATGTCAATAAATGGTTTTTTTTTAATTTAAATCTTCTCAAGAGCTGTCTTTCTTAACATATATGTTTAAATCAATGATATACGCATGGCACCATTCATCATGCTGATGTCAAATGACAGAGATACTCCTAGTACTCCACTAAGTACTCAACATAGACGATATAATACCAAAATACGTGTAGTCAATAATAGGCCTCTGCTAAGATTTAGGCATGATAACGTCAAGAGTAAACTCAAAAGACAACGGTAAAGTTACATTGTAGTATTTTGCTACCTACAGCAAGTCATTAAATGGGAACTAAAATAATATAAAAAGCAGCTATAGAACAAAAGTCGCAATTGCATCAGTATCATCTAACTTTCGTATGAAGTAAACATTTTGATGACGTAAGCATGTTCCACTACCGATAATAAAATTTAGTTCCAAAAATATCGGCGAATACTGTTTTTTAGTGACAAATATATGTTTTTTAAACGGAAATTAATTGTATTAACTGGCAGAAGTACCGGTGTGAACGACATCGCTTAAATCCATGTTAAGCAAGAACCCTAAGTGGGCATCTCCGGCGTGGATGTAACCATGTTAATATCTCCGTTCACTATGCATACACACTGAAACTTACATGATGGTCCAGAAGTGGTTACCATTGGAGTTGTTGTGGATACATCTGAAAATATGAGGCAAAGACTAGTATAAAATATTGCAAACATCCAATATTCGATATTCAAAGCACATTTTTTTCCCAGATGCTACACTTACTTATTCCTTCCTCTTTTTTTAAAAAGCAAACCAGTTACTATTTTTACAAGTACGTTCAATTTATTCAGCACAATATTTCTTTTTTTTAATTTAACTCATATCTTTATTGTTTAAAAAGTAAACCTCGAGCTATTGTACATGTACGTTAAATGCATGGTGATATCATTATCTAGGCAATGGATTTGGAGTGAAATATTTGGAAAGTCCCTTTCCTGCTAAATTGTGAAATATTTTATAAAGATATTACCTGGTTTTGGACAAACATCTTCACTACAGTCAACACATGTTGCAGAATTGCCGTTTTCTATCTTCACACACTTCCCATTACATGTGTCGAAACCTTCAGCAGTTCCATAACACGTGACATATTTCTTGCAGTTTTTTGGATGATGTAAAACTTTCAATTCTGTCGTTGTACAAATATCACCTGGAATAAAACACATTCAAAATAAAGGTCATGAATATATCACCCGTTATGTGGAATATTTTTGATATCAAAATGTAATTTATTGGATTAAACTGAGTATTGAGTTTATCTTAATGTTTAAAATGAGTAACCCAGAACACAAAACATGTCCATAACACGTGACATATTTCCTGCAATTAATTGGATAATGTANGTTCGTTCGGTACTGTTACAGAGCCAATCACTCGGTGAAGTCTGGGTATTTGACACGCTAATGTCAGTGAATACAGAGGACCCTGTGGGTGCGTATTGAACTTTAAACTCTCCGGCGGGATAACCCACATCTCCAGTACATGTGTGTTTGTGAACATAGTTGACGGTTGAGCCGACGACCTGGTGACCTTTTAAGTGAAGTACAGGAAGTGAAGGAGGGCCTAGAAATAGAAAATGTGTTGCTTTGATAATGTTCAGTTATCATATCGAGATTGAAACGATAAATATGGCATAATTTCTTCATTATTTTAGTTGTCTGTTTCCTTTTTATTGATTTTTTCCCCGTTTCTATAATTCTCCATTGCCATATACATCAATATATCTTTCAAGCGTCCAACAGATATAGACAATCTGATGTTTAGTGAGCTTAACCACTCTTCTTTTAGACCGGGACATCTCTATAGACGCATTATTATGATTTATTTATTGCGTGCTTATGATACATTCACTAGTTTCCTATATACGAAATAAACAAATTGGTCAAATGGTATTTATAGGGGAAAACACCTTCCAGCAGCCCTTTTTATCATACGCACCCTTTATGCTTCAGAAGGAAGTTATATAGGAGCATGTTTTTATTAAATTCATTTTATATCAATTGCTTGTTGTAAATCTCATTACTACGGTATTTCCAAATACAATCTTACTTACGTCGGACATGTAGGTCTGAGGTTGGTGATTGAATCCTGCCTGTTGTAGCATTCAATACACATAGATAAGTTCCCGCGTCGTCACACTGAATAGTGGTAAAATCAACGACAACATTTCCTCCAGTTACACTGGCAGTGATTCTTGGGGAAAACGGATGAGTAATCAACGATCCGTTTACCCTCGCAACCAGCACGTCCGTTGCAGCAGAATCGAGACGAATGACGTCAATATAGTTCCATGATGACGTAATGATTCTACACGTCATTGTTACCCCGCTGCCACTTAAAATTCCAACGTATTCAGGTTGATCGAAAGATACATCTGCAAAATGGAATAATTATTCATTGTGGTACAGCAGATAATTAGCTTTGCCCATGTAGTTTGTTAGTGCTATACTAGTCTATTGAATGACGCTACACAGTCGGAGACTATTTATAGCAATTAATACACACGTATTTTGTCAACAATGGGTTTATATTTGAATAGATTGAGACAATAAATACAGTAACCGTTTCATTCTGAAATTTGTTAATACTTATATCAAAATGTAAATTGGCGTATATCTACTACTATTCAACTAACAGCTATTTTATGAGAAGTTTAAACACTGACCGAGCATACACAGTGTATGTTCAACAATCAATATGAGACAACCTATCGACAATGTTTTACGCATACTGAATATATCGCATAAGCACTCTGTTTGAAATGATATAGTTTAAAAGTTACATACAATATATCATATCTTGTTTTCATTCTTAACTGAGAATCATATTAAACATATATCAAATTAACTAACCTGGTTGGATTGTGGTAGTGGACGGTGTTGTGCTTGTTAAAACTGTTGTCACTGTAAGATAGTCAAAATCAAACATTAGTATAACACGGAATTTTTAACATTAACATGGTTTTCGTATAGTATTTCAGGAATATATTATTTTCGTTGCAGCAACGCTTTCAGAGTATAACATAACTGGCAATAACCATCAACATAAACGCTCTATTCACTGCCTTATGAACATGCTACAGGTTAAGACTTCAAAACCTACTTGTGCATGACTACACAATTGCCCTTTTTTCCTTTCCTTTGCGCATGCTCAGTTTATGATATGTCTAAATGTTCAACAAACACATATGATTGGTATCGTTTCATGTTTACCTGGTTCTGTAGTAGTTGTTGTTAACTCGCCTACAACAAAGATGTGTATGTGAATTAAGAGTTATATTTAAGCCAAATGTCTTGTTTTGAGGAAATGATTCCAACATCTTTCTCGTATACATTATAGCAACATTTTAAAACTTACATTATAGTACCTAGTAAAATATAGCGATAACTGCAAATCAAACACATGCTGTTGGTTGTCTTGCTGTTTTCTCTTTTCATCATTTTTATAAATATTACGTGTTCATA